AAAATAAATATAATGAAATAAATATGAACTTTTTTTGTAATTTAATATACTGTAGCCACAGCTTACCTGCTATACAGCTTTATGCTATATTCCATTAATCTTTGTTTCTCTACTGGAAAAATACCTCTGCCATAGAAAGAATCTAATATTACACCAATTTTTAAAAACGGCCGTATCATTTAACTAGAGAATTACAGACCTATATCAGTTATAAATAATTTCGCGAAAATTTTTGAGCACTGTCTAAAAAACAGGCTCGTTGAATTCTTGTACAAAAAGAACATACTAAATAGTAGGCAGTATGATTTAATTAAAAACTCAAATACTGAAAATACTGTAATGGATTCGGTAAAAACAGCCTTAAAGTCATTAAACGGTTTGGCGGTTTTTTATATCTTGCTAAGGCCTTCGATACAATTTCACACGAATTGTTAATAAATAAACAAAACAGCTACGGCATTCGAGCTAATGCACTAGAATTAACAAAAAACTACTTATCACAGAGAATTCAGCGAGTCAAAATCGGGAATAAAGTAATCTCTATGTCTGAAGTGCTATTCCACAAGGAACCGTTTGGGGGCCAATATTTTTTAAAATATACGAACAGCTCATGTTTTTTTGTTAATATGATCCAATTTATCACCGTCATTTTAGTCATATATCATATTGATTTTTTTAGGCTGTATTTATATGGTCAAAATGGTAAAAAAAAAGGCTGACTTAAAATGGGAAATATTTTACTATATAATACAAATTTAATTTCTTATTTTTGTAGGAGGTAGTTTAAATCAACCGCTTGTCAAACCACGCACCCCTTAGAAACAGGTTATATAAGTCTGTAAGTCCGCCATATTTGCAGATCTGCAAAGTTGCAGACGTTCTGTAATCTCACCCTATAGCAGCAGATACTAAGTTGAAGATTTGGTGGATGCGAACTCATAGCCACCATATTTTTACATGCTATTGATTTTTTCCGTTTAGTCGGAAGCTTCAATCTAGCAAGGCTTTTACACCGACACAAAATGTAGATTGTTGTTTCCTCTTCTTATTCGCAAAACCTGCATAGTGTTGTTTGATGGATACCTTGCTTATTTCCTTGGAAAAACCGCAGAATTGTTTGGAGACAGCCATGGCTTTCTCGTGTTAATTCATCGGGATTTTTATTGTCCTTATGTCTGTCCTTCGTGGTCTGGTACCCAGATTAAAAAGATATTATTTTTAGTACTTTTAGGCAGTCTTTCACCCAGGCGGGATTAGATTTGTCGTGAGAAAATTGCCCTTAGAGTAGATGTCAATGATTTTTCCCGATACAAGCTGATTTATTATTTCTCTTGTACAATATTTATTGCTTTATGTAATGCACACGATACTTAATATTTAACAAATTGAAAACTGACATGTTCTGTCGATTTATTAACTGGTGGAATTTGGTGAACACTGAAACTACTGTAATTAAAAATTTGGCGAATGCGCGTTGGATTAACACCATATTATATTTAATTAACCAACACCAAATTGTTACATCTTGGAAGTTCGTGTCTTGAGTAGGTAGTGTCTTGAGTAGGTAGTAGTGTGGTACGAAAAATATATTGGGTTGGTAACAGAAACAGATACTTCTAAAGTAGTCGATCGGTATAAAATAAGAAGAAAAAGGAGTCGTAGTAGGAGTAATTTACAGACAGAAAGTAAACAGGATTCAACTAACGTACGAGCTATTTATTTGGATGGTACAAAAGACCATACTGTAATTATAGAAAAAATAGAATCAAAGTTTCGTCAAACAAAAAAAGATAAATCTCTATATATTTATTGAAATTCTCTTATTAATAACATCGTATGTACATGGTAATTTTTTCTAAGATGTAACAAACAAATGATATACAGGTGGAAAATAAACCATTTTTAGAATTTTCTTGTGTAATTATAATTATATTCTAAGCATTATAATTCTTGTTTTTTAAAAGTTTAACTTTTTGAACTCATTAAAATAACACAAGTTTATATAAAATGTTTAAAACCTGTTCTATAATATTTGCCTTTAAAGGTTAGTCGATATAACGTTTGTAATTACTAACTTCCAAAGAAATATTTTACTTAATTGAATGAGTTTTTTTTTCAGAAGATATAAAGTGAATCAATACCTTTAACTCACTCATTTAAAGTAACCTTCGTTGACAAACCATAGGCGTACTACACATTAGTTAAAACCAACAAAAAGGAAATAGTAGATTGTGCAGCAAGATTGAATATGACGAGACGACCAAGTTTTGAAGATTTGTATTAGGACTTTTACTATTCCTGACCATGTAATAATATTTGGTCCATGTATATCTTAGACCTATGCATGTAAAAAATATTTGATCCCTTTATCGATTAATCCATCCTATATCGAAATATTTGTACCCTCTACCCCTTAAATTTGTCCAAGTAAAAATAGTTGGAACAATTATCCCGTACTTCTTCCCGTGAAGTATTTGGCCCTTTGCCTTTTAAGCTTGCTGTGTAAAATATTTGCAATCATTAGGGCCTGTCCATGGAATAATCATATTTTTATCCCAATATCAAATCCAGATACGAGCTTCATTCTGGAATTTGTTATAACTCATGCACCATCCTGTATGTAATTCGCGTAAGATCTATATTTATTTCAAAACAAATATTATTTTCATTTATTTATCAATTTCACTTACAATAAGTAACCAGTCATATAATAGCTATTTATACAACCAGTTACTAAATGCCTTATTTTTCTAAAGAGTAAATATTTGCGAGACGAGCAGAGCGAGGTTCCGCAACATGAACGAGTTACACAAGATGGCATTTTGTAACGTGTTACATAAAATATTTTAACTAAATTGTTGTGTGGTAAAAAATTACAAACCATTAATTTTTTGTACTTTTAATTAAAAGATTTTATAAAAAGAAAATTTGGAAAAATGTATAGAAAAATGTGGTATTTTATGTAATGTGATTTATTTGAATCAACACAAGCAGTTATTTCAAATATTTAAAAAATAATTATTATGTATGCTTTCTTTCGTTCACTTAAAAAATTATAATTTGACGGTGTGTTGACAAAATGTGTAAGCCAAATTGTAAAATGGCAAATATTTTAAGGCAAATTAAAATATTTTGGTTTTAAAGTATATAGTTGTCCTTTAGATAAATTGAAATTGAAAAGCATAAGTGCCATTGCGCCATGCAATTTAAATGGGATTAAAATTTTTATTTAATACAATAATACATTAATGCTGTTCTATTATTAGGTACATTCATGTCTTTGTGGTTTTTTTTTATGAATTATATAAAAAAATGATCTTAAAATGTCGTTTAAAAATATGGCTTATGCATAATGTTCTTCTGGGATGTCTCATGGGCGATAACTTATTTTTTTTTTGTGTTATCGGCTTCAACTGCTAAGGTTATTTCGCCTCGTGTTCTGTGTTCAAAAATGCACTTAAACAAAAATTAAAACACAAAATATAATTAACCTAGAAGCCTGGATAACAACAGGTTTAATATTTTTAATAAAAACGATACTCACAAAAAAATATTCTCTAGAACTTGAAAACCAGTACAGAAAATATAAAAACAAACTTCATTCCTTATTAAGAAAAACAAAAAATGACTATTGTCAAAATAAAATCGCTCAAGAAGGAAACAATTATAAAAAAATATGGAAAATCATTAATGACATAACAGGTAGTACAAAAAAGACCAAGCAAATTGAAAACATCTGTAAAATCAGAAAATAATGAATATATAAACAATAACAAAGAAAAAGCTGCGATAGTTTTAATACGTTTTTTTACAAATTTAGGTGAAAACATGGCATATAAAATACATAAGGTAGTGCCAACAGTAGACTTTCTTAAAAATGATAAAGTGAACATATTCTTTAAACCCATAACAAAAAATGATGTAAATAAGCAAATTAAAAAAGAGCTCCGAACCTGGTCCAGATAAATTAACGACAACTACAATAAAAAATATACATGAATATTTCTCTCGCCTGTCAACTTTGACCTTTTAAATCACAATGTACGTTATCATTGGTATTCGTTGACGATTTGTGTTAATAAAATTAATATTAACAGATTTTGTTTCGTTTAGTTTAATACGCCATCTTCTGGTCCAATTATTTATTTGATTAATTGATGTTTGTAGTTTATTTGCAGTCTCTTCGTCTTTTTTTAGCTTGCGGAGGATTAACCGAACTCGTCTGGTGAGCCAGCAGAAAGAGTGCATAAGAAGTGTGTATTCATGTGTGCATTTTTTGAGGGAAATAGTCCAAAACTATTTTAAACGTTCTTATATTACCAAAAATATCATTGTTTTACCGTGTTTAAAATTAACATAGTATCAATAGCAATTAATTGAAACCGTATTTTCGACCATGAGTATATGTATGTAGCTCAGTAAAGTGATAGAAATTACCCTAAGTCCTCTGACAAAAGTGTCTCCATATTTCACTTGAGCTTTGTTGTTGTGTAGCAGCCTAAACTTTATTAAGATGCGTTTACACGAATACAAGAAGTCACTTTGAAAAAAAAATAAGAATACGTTTTACATTTTTTCTATAAATACAAGAACAATTTACTTTCGTTCTTTATAAATAAATATCGCAGCTGAACATTGGTTTTAAGCGTTTTTAGAGTTTTTAAAGATAATACAAAACAGGTGAAAATTCGTGAAACAGATTCTTTATTAAAAAAATATATTGTAACAAGAGGCACAAAAATTATTTATTGGATAACTCATATATTTTTTTTAATCAATATTTTTTTCTTCACAATTGGACTCATCACTACTTACCGTTATACCTAAATTAATAATAATTGGTTCCTGATAAGAAACATCTAATTGCTTGTATTTTTCCCTATCGGAAACAATTATGTTTTTAGCATATCGGTAACATTATTCGAAGCTTCTGACCAAGTCTGAAATACATTCTTAATTCGCTTTAAGATACATTTTCTATCAGTTTTTATTTGTTTCAGTGTTACGTGATACTAAGAGACGCGATTACAAGTTTAAAAGGAGACCTTCAACCAAGTGGGTATCCATTTCAAGCAGTTCAGACTTATGTTTTGAATCCTAAGTCAATAACCATGGGACAATTGTATGGCGAATTTGATCCGTCTACTCACGAATGGTAAGTTTTATTAAAGTCGTTGTTATTAAATAAATCTCTAAACGAGATTGTGTTTTAATGGTTAAATTTTTCACAGATTATCATTTTACTCACTCAATATTTTGTTAAAAAAACCAAAATAAATTTGTAAACCCCTAAGTGTGAAACAACCCGAATAAATTAATCAAGTGATCATACGATAGCACGGTATGATCTACATTGCAGGTTCGATTTCTGCCACATACGAGCCCTAACAACTAAATGTTCGGAAAAATAATAATTTATTGAAAACGTTAATTTACTTTACACAAACTAGATTATTAAATTAAAGGACTACATTAACAATATATTAAAATCTATCATTTATAATAAACATTTAAAAGGTTTGGTTTCACAGTGTGCGAATAAATAAACAAAAATATTGCACAATATCGTGACAACTAAATGTTCGGAAAATTTATAAAATTTCTTTTACAACCGCTGCAATCTTATCTGATTGACATAAATCAGGGTCAGCACTTTGCCATAATTCATCCAATTTCTTCTTCAAATCGGCAACGGTTCTTTGGAGATCATCACGCAATTTTTGTTTCATTTTATTCCATAGTGTTTCGATAACATTAAGGTCTATCTAGTTACCGTGTATAAAATACGTAACTTTGTTATTTACTAATTGTAAGTTGCTAATTAATTAATAGACTTGTTAGTTACTTCTTAGAAACTGTTTTGCCAAAAATTCTGATAAATTTAGTCCAAAATGGCCAGAGGAAGTGCGACAAATGTAAAAATTCGTGAATTGATAATCAAAAAATATTGTTTGGGTAAAAAAATACGTGAAATAGCAGATAAATTAGATTTGGCTAAGTCGACAGTTGGGGATACACTTAAGCACTATCGTGAGAGTGGAAGTGTCCAAATTAAAGGCAAAAGTTCGGGAACACCGAGAAGTGTGTCTGATAGAGATCGACGATTACTTGTAAAAATTTGCAAACGGGGTCGTCGTAACACTTTAAGGGCCATTACAGCACAGTGGAATGCAGAAAAGGATAGACTTTATCGAGAGAGTATTGTAGAAAGTGGATACATAAATCAGGACTATGATTCTACAAGATAAAAATAATGGGGCTTTAAGCATTAATGTTACGGTAGAGAATTTCCAGATGCTAAAAAGAGAAGTTATCGAGTCGATAAACGGTTATATAACCGCAATTATATGCCAAATATTTCAAAGCACGCAGTTGGTCAGAACGCCAAAAAAAAACTAAATAATGGAACCAAGGTAAAGGTATGGCATGGGTTGGGTTATTTTAATTTCCTGCTTTCTCACTCTTACAGCAACATCAGATGAATCTAACGGTAAGCAAAGTACAGCGCCGGACTTTAATATTATTAAAAATAATAATACTCTCCCTAATTCACACCCTTACGAGTGAATTTTAAGCCCAAAAGCTGAGCTTGTCCGGGGAAAAAAAGGATAATGTTATTATTTGTCGTGGGGCTCCGGGGCGACTTAAAGATGATTGATGGTGCCATTTGACTTACAGCTGAGGAAAACCCTACCCACGATCATCGAAACGGTAACGCATGGTGATTTTTATAATTTTATAATCTGCTAATACGGCATCCATCAAATCCTATGGAGAACCATGCAAATAAATTCACACGGTCTTCCGTAGAATTCGAAGCCAGTGTGTCCCTTACCACAAAATTGCTCGCAAATGAGTGCGAGCGCCGTAGACACCTACACTATCGTTTCAATATTTGTTGATATATGCTTTAATTGAATAATATTTTGTTTATTAGGTATATATACTTAAAAGGCATTAAACGTTTAACATATTTTTTTTAAAAGTTATTTTGAAATTAACAACAACAAAATAAGTTTGTAAAATGAGTAAATAAATCAAAAAAAAAGCTTATTAAGAATTATCACCACCGCTGTCATCTTCATTCACTTGATGTGTCTCTCAGATTTATGATGCAAGACTGACTATTCAGTATTCAATTTTTGGTCCACATTTGTGGAGATACATCTACAGCAACTACTCGAATGACATCTACCACACTTTGAGATAACGTAGGCAGGAGTGGCATTTCTCTTTCCTAATTTCCTCTTGTTATTACTCCAAATTAATTCGAAAGGATTTAATATACGATGATAATATAGTGAGAAACGTATAATGGTATAAGCTAATCTTGTGACAACATATTATATGAGTTTAGGATTCAATCCCTTTAATATAGCCAGCAGGTTGTTTTTAAAACTGTAGGAGGATATATTAAACACCATACTATTTAAAAAAGAACCTGTTTACGATCTTCCGGCTTTGGTATTTTACCAGTTTGTCCGGAATGCTATGGGGCATTATCCATGACTAAAAGATCATTTGAAGGAAAGTTTGGTGTAAGATATTTTTAAACCATTGCTCAAATAAGCTGGAAGGCATAAGAATTTGCTGTATGTCCACTCTCATTGCCAGCGTATAAAAACAATTATTGAAATAAAATAGGAGAGTATTCGCTCACAATTAAAAGGTTATCTTTCTCGAAACAATACATTTAAATTACCCGATATGCGAAATTTGTATTTGAAGGTAGTGGCAGATGTAAATAGAGAACACTGAATAAAATGCATTAAGAGAGACAACAGAGACGTGTAACTTAATAGGAAAATTTGTTCGGTGGTCCATTTAAATTACATATATGACTTTCTTTCTCTTTTACATTGATCGTTACATATATGTATCTCTCTCCAATAAAATTAACACCGGCCCTAGAGGTCGATGGTGTTGCTGGATTTAGGACGTTGACGTGTGACGTATAGATTAGAACTGACAATGTTATGAATGTTGTTATGAACGTGTGCATTTTATTAAAATTATTTATTATTTTGGGCTCCATTTATTTCTTTGATTCTGATTTTGTTGTTTAATTAGTTGTTGAGCGGGAAAGTGTTTATTTTCCCATATTATTTTTTGCATGAAGCACTTTCTGGAACCAAACTCGCAATTTTGTACACATTTCTTTCTAGAGGTAAGTAATTGCTAATTTATTAAGAAAATCAACAACTACTGTATAATGTGTGTGTTTAATAATATATTACAAAATGGCTATAATTATTTTGGGTGAATTGGAACAGAGATCTATTGTTACAGCTACTTTTGTTCATTAAGTAGGTAGATGAATGTCTCGACAGCTTTAATGGCAGCACAAAGTTCCCACCTACTAGAAAATAGGTAAAATGTATGCTGAGTAAAAAATTTCTGCACATGTAGTATTGGCAAAGTGGCTATTAGAAGATTGTAGAGTCATTTAAATGAAGAAAAAAAACTGAATCACTAAAGGCCAGAATTTTAAATCAGAATAAATTGGAAAATGAATTTGGGGACATCAGATCGACTTTGGATTTTAGAGAGAGATCAATCTTAAGAAAAGTTAATTTATCCTGCAGAACAATCAGTAGTTTGAGTAGGATCTGCTATAACTTTATTAGAAGATTTACTGTAATATACTAATTGTTTCGAATGAAATTGAAAAAGAGTTAAATTTGAAATTAGATTTTTCATGGGTAAAATAGGTATACCCTGGTCACAGAAGTACTTCTGTGCCCTGGTGGTGTAAGAAACAGATAAGGGACGACGACAAAAAAATTACAAAAATGTATTCATCTTTAAATAGTGTTTATTATTAATTATTAATATTATTATTTGTTAAGTTTGAAAAGTACCTCCTGCTGCAGAGCGGATCGAATAGATTATACGACTAGTTGGAGAAGGTCCACCTAGTCACCAAATTAGGAGACTAGGAAAACTTTTACCTAACTGAGGACACAACAGGGATGCACACGCACAAGATACACAAATAGACGACATAATAGGGGTAAGCATTCAGCAACGTCCTGTTTAAATGATGATAGTATGTCATCCTTCATTTCCTTTTAGAAGGCATGGCATATAAATCTATTGATCTTGATGACCCGAAGAAGAGTTAGCGGGGGTGGACGGAATGGGTCTAGCTGGTTTCGATCCAGTTTACAGGATGGGAACTTACTCGACTCGGACCTTTTACATTTGTGTGAGTGTATGTGTGTGTGTTTGTTTTATTTTCATAGTTTCTATTAAAATAAACAGTCATAATATATACTCTATACTTTATAAATTATTTGTTACATTATTTTTTATATATAATGAATACATAACAACTGTGACTGTAATTTGTGATACGAGGTACTTTCTAAACGTAGCAATTGTAGTTTGTTGTATTATTTTTCCAAGTTTAAATATTTAATAATCAATAGAATTTTCAAGTTTTTTTAGCTAAATTTACAAGAGTACAAGAGAACAAGAGTAATAAACACTATGTTCACTGCTTACATTAAACTGATTAAAACTTCCTTCATTAAAATGAAAATTTGTATGATAAAAAATTTGATGTTATTGGAAGTTTTTTTATTTTTTAATATACAGTGAAACAATAGTTTTTATTTTTCCTGTAAATTTGTATAGAAAAACTATTTATTTCTGAATCCATATTTGAATTTCTTGCCCTAAAGCAATTTTAAATTTTCCCCTTATTTATGAAAATTTACTAATAGCGCCATCATAGACTGGTTGCGGTTACATTCGCCCAAACAACTTTTACCGAACAAAAAAAAAATACATTGAGTTACACGTCTCGCTGGGTTGTCTCTGGCATTGATCATGTTTAAAAGGTGTAAAATTTATTTTAGATAGTGGCTATAGCAATGGAAAACCTAATAAACTCAATAAACCTTAGAAAAGACAATGATAATGATACCAGTAGTTATAGTGAAGACAGTGACTTAAAGATAGTTCTGGAACTTTTTATTTTTTTAATCTTTAATTTTAGGTACTGAAGTGTTATTTTTAATGCCAAAAGATTAAAAAAGGTTAAATCAAATTAAACAACATAAAATATAATCCTTCTTGTTACTTTTCTTATTCAAAATTTAATCTACGAAGTGCATATATACCATTTTATATGCAATGACCTTATTTAAA